GCCCGGCTGGAGCTTGAGCTGGAGTTGGACCCTCGGCACCGGGCCTCGTCGCAGAAGCGGAGCCACTGCGACGAGTCGGCGCAGATGAGCTCCTCGGAGAGCGCCGGCAGCGCGGTGGCGCCAGAAGTGCTGCGGCTGCGCGCAGCGGAGGATGAGTAGGAAGATGTAGTGGTGGGGAGGAGAATGGCAGGTGGTGTAGAGGATGTAGAGGAGGTGAATGGCTCCTTGGCTGCGACGAGGTCATTCATTGTGGCGGAGGAGGCGTGATCGCTCTCGGTGGAGGCGCTGAGCGAGGGGATGGCGGACGGTTGCAAGTAGAACAAGACATTGCGCTTCGAATCGAACATAGAAAAGTAGATGTGTGGATGTGGCAGGCTCTGACGGAGGTTCACAGTGCGTGCAGAAGAGGCAGTTGAGCGCTAAGAGATGATTAATTGGCTCGAGATGAAAAAAATGAATTAATCGAATTGATGGAGGTCGTGTGGTGCAGGAGTTGTAGCGAACAAGGCCTCGCCACAGCGGGGTACCCAGCTTGAAGCTGCCCATTCAAAGGGGCGAACATGAGCGAAAGTAGTGGCGAAGGTGTAGAAAAGAGGCGGGAAACTCCCCTGCTCAAACCAACTCCCAACCTTGAGAATTCCAATAATTGGCTCCCTTTATTCAACCACAACACCCCAGCTGGGTACGGAAAACGAAGAAACAACGAAGGAACAAAGTCAGGTCACGTGGTGGGTAGGTGGACAGGTTTACCTTCTCCCTGGTGTCATGCAAGACCATCAACTAGGAGTACTGAAGAGCAAGAGCTAGAGTGCTGTGGATACACTGTTATTGAATAACAAAATACAAAATTACACACGTGGGCTTGGCTTGTTGTGCGGCGCCCGGCCCGTGGGGCAGCTCCTGGTCGCCCGCTTCTTGTCCGCCACCCGCCGGTGCCTGAATGTCGCTTCTTCCTCCTCTTCTTCGTCCTTCTCATTCATCGGCTTGGCAGGCCGGCCGCGTGGTCTCGTTCTCGGGGCTGCCGAGGAGGAGTCGCCCAGCAGGAGCATGTCGACGAAGAACGACGATGGGGCCTGTCGCGTCGCGCACCGCTCGAGCATCGGCAGCTCCCGCATGGCCGCCACCTGATGCAGCTGTGCCGCGGGCGAGCTCCCCAGCTGGAAGACCGGGCCGGCCGGCAGGTTGCCGCCCATCATCGCCGTCTGTTCCGACGGTCCATCGGCGTTGCTGTTGTTGTTACCGGCGCTATCGTCGCTTTCATCGCTTTCATCAGTGTCGCTGACTTCGTCCAGGTGGTCGGCGTCGAGGTAGCCCCGACTGCGTCGAGCTCGGCTGCGACGGCTGTTCTCGAGCCGGCCGTTGGCGCTGAGAACCGTTCCAGGCACCACAGCTCCCGCGGCCTCGGCAGACTGGGCTGCCTGGGGCTCGCTACGCAGTACGTTCTCCCATCGGGCGAGGGCGTGGAGGCGCCGCCGCTCCTGCTCGCGCTCCCAGGCGGCCTTCTTCTTGGCCTGCTTGCGTTCGGCCTTGGCGATGGCCTTCTTGCCGGTGGCGGTCTTCTTCCACCTCGGGGCCTCGTCGGCTTCTTCCTCGTCGGCCGCGGCCTTCCTCCTCGTCTCCACCAGTGCCTCGGCCTTGCCGTTGTTGGCCTTCGAAGACAGGAATGGTAGCCTCATCCACTACGAGGGGCGTCTCGTGTAGTCGCTCTACGGTCGCTTGCGCCTTGGGCTAGGTTCGGTTGGAAGGGTCGTCGGTTTGGGGGGGGGCAGCTGCTCGTCTGCTGGGCGGACTAAAAGATAAAGATTGTAGTTGTTCTACTCGGTCTGGGCTGGAAGAAAGAGTAAAGGTCTTGTGGAAGAGGTGATGCAAGAGTGAAAGAGGACGAGAAGGGGTAAGTGGGGAGAGTGGGACTACTGGGAGGCGCCCGTCGTGGCTGGTGTGGCGGGTTTTGTGGTTTGGTGGAATGGACAGCGCCCAAATCGGACGTGTCCATGCCCTTTTTAGCGCTCTTCGCATTGGCCAACCGACAGCCGAGGACGGCGCGTTTAAGCAATTAGCAAGTGCAATGCTCGTCGCCTAAATGCTCATCCAAGCGTCATGGAGAACGCAAGAAGCCGGTAGCACGCGGTGAACCACCAGCACTTCAAGGAAGGGCGCCGCTCTGGCGTGAGACAGCGCAGGAAGGCAAAGGAGCCAGTGAGAACCTTGAGTATGTACTTCTCTTGTAGCGGCCTACACACTTATGCACAATATGGTAAGGCCAAACAAAATCAGACAACCAATTGCATTCCACCAATCGAACTTTATCTAGCGCCCAGACAATCATCTGGTCAATAGTCTTCTGAGCCAGGCCTCCACATCATTTGGGGTGGTCGAGGGGCGTAAAAAAGGGGTGTAAATAGAGTAGATAAGCCAATATAATGATTATCTGGGCGTTCCTTTTTGTCGACGACATTTCCACCAATGGGCGAAATTGCCGACTTATGTGCAGAGGCACTTCGAAACCAGCCTCCCCCCAACGAAACGGATTCTTGTCGACCTTGACGGTGCCCGCTGTTCGGTTGGCGGACTGTCTACAAGAATCCAGTTCGTGGGAGGGGGCAGCCACAGCTGTTTGCATGTCAAAGAGGCCCGGATGACCGGGCGAGCGGAGCGTCGACAAGAATCCATTTCGTTCGGGAGAAAAAAAATCGCCCGTGGTTTCGAAGTGTATGCAGCAGGAATTTAGAAATACCATAGATTCCATGTCGCCAGGTGAACTGTGTTGGCGCGTAGGACAGAAACTCCCACGCCACGGTGAGCTCAAGCGGGCGAGCTCACCACGTGACAAAGAACGAAGTGGTTGCCAACCGGCAAAAGATCGAAGCCACTGAAGAACTGGAAGAAGAAGTGGAGGCATGAAGCTGAAGATCAACCTTACCCGAGGTGGGAAGGGGGAGGCGGCTGCTGGCGGGGGAGCGGAGGAGGAGAGAGGCGAGAGCAGCAATAACAACAAGAAGGAAAAGAGGAACAGCAAGGAGAAGAAAAAGACGAAGAAGGACAGCCTCACCAAGCCCCCCAAGGAGAAGAAGAAGGACAAGAAGACGGAGAAAGATGTAAAGGCTGCACCCACGGAAGATGAGGCCACCAAATTGACGTCATCATCGAAGAAGCAGCTGCCCCTGCTGCGATCATCTCACAGCAAGAATCCTGTTCCGCCCTCTGAGCCAGAGGCGCCCACCAGCCCTCGCGGAGCTGCGGTTTCGAAATGGGAGCAGGCCCTCCGTAATGAGGAGAAATCTAAGTCCCCTGCAGCCGATTCTACGCCCAGCAACCACCAGCGATATGCAACCACCACCGGGGCCGCGCCCGCTGCACCTACCATTAGTCCGCTCGACCTGAGCGCAGAAGCAGGTACTTCTGCCAGAATCACCCCTCCCCCCAAAGCACTACACAAATACCCTCTTCTATCTCCTGTTTGATTCATTCAATGCATCGATGCTAATGGCGGCCTGGCGGACTTGTGCAGAGGCCGAGGAGAGACGCAAGCGAAGGCAGCAGAGGGCGCTGGAGTCATACCACAACCGGCCCCGCATCCCGACGTCGCGTAGGGCCTACGAGGCCGGGGTGGGCGTTGGGCCGGCCGAGGCCATCAACCGCCACCTGCGCGGCGGCGGCGAGGACGGCCCGTGGCTGATGGGCCACCTCATCGTGCCGCGCGGCGAGGCCGAGGGCCTGGAGGTCGAGGCCGGCGACGACTGGTACGACCAGCTCCGGTCCGACGACGAGGAGGAGATCGACCCCGAGCAGCTGCTCCTCGCCCTCACCGCCCAGCAAGAGGAAGAAGAGCAAGAGCAAGAGCAGGAGGTGGAGATCAACAAAGACTCAACTGCGTCGGACTGAGCCACCACCGCCACCTTGTACACTGTATGTAGCCATATATTTATTGTTTTAAACCACGCACGCGCACACGACGCACGCGTTCGCTTCAGCGACTCGATCAGGCCTGGGCGGGACGGAGGGCGAGCGTGCGGTCGCCGAGTACGATCTCCCCGACGTTCTCGAGGAGGGTTGTCTGATCGGCCGCCGTTCTCAGCTCCACAAAGGCTCGTCCCGTGCTGCTCTTCTTGGCCCTGTGCGCACGACCCGACACGGTGAGTGTCGTGCGTGCGGTGGTGGTGTGTATCGTGTCGTGTCGTGCGTTGCGTGTCGTGTGCGGTGCCAAACCTGGCGCTTTGCTTGGGCTTGCGGATGAGCTTGACGTCGTCGATGGCGATGTTGAGCCGCTCGCCGATCCCGCGGAACAGCTCGATGAGGTCGTCCTCCGTCACGTCGAACGGGATGTTGAACACGATCACCCGCGTCTTCGACTCCACCTCGGCCCGCTCGTCGCACTCGATCGGATGCGGAACGAACGACGGCGGAGGCAATCGAACGGCCGTCGTCGTTTCGGGCTCGGCCGTCGACGACGCTTGCTGGAGGGGGATGGCGTAGCGAATGTCGAATGGCGTGTCGTTGGCGCCGAGCCGGCTGATGAGGTAGATCTCGGTCACATCGAACTCGATCTCCTTCCACTCCTTCTGCCACTCGACCATCTTCTCCTCGACCTCCCTCTAGAGGTACAGAGTCGAGAGAATGAGCGACGAGGTGGGGAGGGGAAAGAGAGAAGGCGAAAAGAATGAAGGAAAGAAAAGGGCGCGTACGGCCTTGCG